CTTATAAAGGAGCGTCTAGATTTAGCAACAAATGCACAAATATCGCAATCGCCACCGTCTTTTCAGAGTGGGGTTGCCAACTATTTTTGAATTTATGGTCAAACTGAATCGTTCCCGCCTAATTTTCTAGCACGCATCTGTAGACAAATTGCTTTCATTGAAGAAGTGATCTTTGCAAAATCACAACCGAAATAACATTGTTGAGATGTCTTACTTCAGAAACCAAAACCAAATCACAGAAAAAAAAGCGTACCGTTTCAATGTAACGCTAAGAGTCTCACGATTGTGAAGCGGCAGATCGCCAGGCTCTGTGATGAACGAAACATCTAAGGATTGTTCAGGTGACCTCTGCAAGCAAACAGAAACTGCTCGGTTTTCAAAGTTGAAAATTTAATAGATCTGTCTTCACTCGTACCATAAAAGTGGCTCCACTTTCCCTTCTCAATATAGAAAGTTCGACGAAATCGCCGGGCTCATTCATTGCTCGAACAGCTTCATCATGTGATGCACACGTCACATCTATATCGTTGACCCTTGAAATGGGAAGAGACTTTATCTGTCAGCTATCAGAACTTGTTGATGTATCTCACTTCATAAGTTTATCATTAACGCGAAGCCCCGCTATGTCAGCAGGACCATCAGGGGTGACGCGCGAAACAAAGAGGGAACAGTCTCCATCGATAAATGGGGTACTTCCGAGACCACCCGCAATTGAAAGTCCTAGATGTCCATTGGCGTCACGAGTGATCTTAATTTTTCGAGGCACGCCATCCTTGCTCGTCGGCGAAATCACAGGAGGTTTTTCCTTAATTGGATCAGATGAAAAAAGAGGCAACTACCATAACGCGACTATATTGGAAAATCTGGGTCGCAGAGATTTCACAAGTACGCAGCATTGATCGTGCCGAAATAGTTCGCCCCATAAATTCTTCGTGACGGTTGCTTTTGATGCGAAAACGTGGCTTTCGTGGTTGATTGTTAAAACACGATGGCAAAAGCTCAAAGGCAGCGTCCAGGTAAATTTTTGACTTCAGAGTTTTCAAACCTTTTTTGAACAGATGC